TCACCCATCCTCCTGCACTGACACAGTGGTGGTCTAGCCAGTCTGCCACAGTGTCCCCTCCATGTGGCTGTCACTGATGCCCCTTATAAATAGATCTGAACCGTCTTCTCTCTCTCTTTGAACCTTCCCATGTCTTCTGTCCCTGAGAACAAGATTCCAGTGCACACTCGTATTTGTTACAGTCATGCTCTGGAATCAGTTAGGTTGCCATTGGTAGCAGGGAAAACGGGATACATATACAAAATAGCATTTTGTTCAGTTATGAATAATAAAATGATATTGTTCACGGGAAAGTGGGTGAAACTGGAGATTGTTAGACACAAAATGCCACCTATTTTCACTCATCTGTGGAATCTAGATTTTTTTTTTAGTCATAAAAGTAAAAGGAGGACTGTTTGGGGAGAGAAAGGGGGACACCACAAAGGGGTGGCAAGAGAGTAATGATGTCCACGACCAAAGTACCAAAAAGTACATATAAGTATGACAGTGTTATGATGAAACTCATTGTTTTAACATTAATATATGCTTAATAGAATATCTAAAAACAATAAACAAACAAAAGCAAAGAAGACCTCACTGAGGTTATGAGGCCCAACCAAGTCATGTTCCTAATTCAGCGTGGGGCCTAGGCACTGCCCCTGTGCTGCCGATCAATCTCCTTCAAGCCCTAAAGTGCTCTCTGCTCCTGCGCCTTGCATTTCTTCCCCTCTTCCCCAGATACCTCACATACTCCCGGTTATCGTCACATGCCCTCAAGGGCCTATTTGAAATGGCGCCCTACCCTATCATCCTATTATACTAGGTTTTTCTTCCTGTGACGATCGGTCCAGACTTGACCCTGGATGGACCTCTGTGTTTTGGCTTCCTGCGATCTTGGGGGCTTGTTGGCCTGTTTGCCAGCAGCTGAATCTTTTTTGTTCACACATCATGGTCCAACATTAACACTTGTCACAGCAGCTGAAGCTAAAGAAGTAAGACTTGGACAAGCAAAGAAATAAAGACATTGATACAGAAAAGACGAAATCACAGACTCTGCTGAGGCTTCCTGTAAGAATGCATTTCCAAAGTCTGTGTGGTGGGGTACTTCATGTCTTCCAGCTTAGCACTCAGGAGGTGTGGAGGCAGGAGGGGGGCAGGGTCCAGGCCGGCTGTGCTAGGAAGAGAGTTCTAGATCAGTCTGGTCTACATGGTAAGCCCCTGTCTTGCAAACACAAATAGCATTTTGCACATGGCTCTCCTCCAGGGTTCTGACCTTCCCGGAAAGGGAGAGGGAGA